GCCTCCTGCCTGCGAAGCTGCTGCCCAGTACCGTGAGGTCTCCTCCCAGCCCATGTTTGCAGAGAGCTTTTGGAAGCAGTCAGCTGCTATCGGCCACTGCCTCACTGCCAACTAGGAGTGCCAGGAAGGCTGGACACATACAAGGGGACCTCATGGGGGCCAGGGAAGCATGGATCTGTAGGAGCTGAGACCAAGGAAGGGCAGGAGGACCTCAGGACCCACTTGGTCTGGGCAGCGGAGCATGGGGAGCCTGTGCTGTGGTCTGGGTGAACCCTGAGAGCTGAGTAGTGAATTGGTGCAGAGCTGCAGAAAAACACCGTCTGCAGGGGGCGACTGTTTTTGTGCTGAGAGTTCCTTCAACTCCACCAGTGTTTCCTCTTGTTTGGGGGCTTTTTTTTTCTTTTGGGGTCACACCTGGCGATGCTCAGGGGTTACTCCTGGCTCTGCACTCAGGAATCACTCCTGGCGGTGCTCGGGGACCATATGGGATACCGGGGATTGAACCCCGGTTGGCCGTGGGCCAGGCAAATGCCCTTCCCTGCTGTGCTATCACTCTACCCCCACCCCCACCAGTGTTTCTTTGGTGAGTTCCCTGGACCCTGAGCTGGGGAGACAGTGGTGAACCCCATTCCTGGACCCAGCGGCCTGGAGTAGTGGATCTCAGGGTTGACTGCACCTTGGACTCACCTGAACTCCACTTGAGCCCAGGAGCGAGTGCAGAGGCCGGAGCACATGCCTGACCCGGCTCCATCTCCCACACCTTGTTAGTCCCTGAGCAGCGCTGGGTGCAGCCCTGGGCCTCCCAGCACCCCCGGGATGGCCCAGGGATCCCCAGCTTACAGGGCCTGAGCAGCACCACTTGCTCAGGCTCTGGCATGAACCTGAGTTAGCCGAGAGTCACTGGTGAGGCCCCTGGGCCTCCTGAGCACTGCTTGAGAGCCCCTCGCCACACCCCCCGCCCACCAAAAACAACAAGACCAAGCTATTGAGGAAGCTCTGTAGGCTGAGGCCCGGGTTCAATTCCCAGCACCACACCCTGGTCCCACCAAGCACTGCCAAGAGCAACTCCCGAATAGTCAGGAGTAGATCCTGAACACAGTCCTATCAGGTGTGGCCCCTAAACAACCAAACCAGCCCATGAAGCTGGGTCCACCCTAAGATTCTGTGATGCCAGTTGTCACTGAGGTCTCTGACAACCCCACTAGCAAGGGATTCCGGAACTGCAAAGACTCTCCAGCTGATTCAGAGAAGGAAAGTCCAAGAATCTCCGGCCTACATTGCATTTTGTGGCACGTGGGGACAGAGGCCTGAATTGTCCCAAATAGGGCTGGAGCGATAGCACAGGGGGTAGGGCGTTTGCCTTGCACGTGGCTGACCCGGGTTCAATGCCTCCGTCCCTCTCAGAGAGTCCGGCATACTACCAAGAGTATCCTGCCAGCACGGCAGAGCCTGACAAGCTCCCTGTGGCATATTCACATGCCAAACACAGTAACAATAAGTCTCACAATGGAGACGTTACTGGTACCCGCTCGAGCAAAACGATGAACAACAGGAGGACAGTGCTACAGTGCTACAGCCTGTAATTATGCCCCAAGTCACTCTTGCTGCGGTGGGGCTGGGGGTGGCGTGGGGGCCACACTCTCAGTTTGGTGTCAGAAAAGAGCAACGTGCATTTCCTAGGCACAGCTGTTGGGAGGAACTGCCAAATCTGGGGTGCAGAGAAATCAGTGCTGGTCAGGGGCGGCAGGACGCTGGCCATGCCACTCTGCGTCAGGCTACTTGGTCTCAGAAGTCCCTCAGCTTCCCGGGGGTAGACCCCTTCGCCCAAGCCCAGGCCCCACATTCTACCAGGGCCACCAGCGTGTCCCCATCAATGTGAGCACTGTTGAGTGGGGCCTGGCAACTTCACCTCTAAGAACTCAGAGACAGGGAGAAGTTGGGAACCCCGTGGCTGGCCGGGGGTCTCTCCCCAGCAGGTCTAAGGAAGCCAATCAATCACCCTTCTCTGATTGGCTGTGCTGGAATGCCTGGATTACACAATGAACTAGGAGGCCCCCAGCCAGCTCCGGCAAGTGAGACAGAGGGGCCGCTGGTGCTGTGTGACCTGGGGCCACTGTCACCCTCTCTCTGGACCTTTGCTTCCTTCCTTCTAGGAGACAAGCTCTGCCGGGACCCACTTCCTACTCCCCAATCTATACCTTTGGCTGGGGTGGCCTCACCTGGGAGTATCTCTCCGTCTACAGTCTATGCCCCCCCCCCACATACCTACCCCCGAAATCTCTTCTCTGCATGGAAAGGGTGGTGGAGGCCACCTCTAGGGATACTTGGTCACCACGGCTAGACAGCACAGTGCGTCCTGGGACAGTACAGAGAGCCCCAGCCGTGCTGGGGACCACCAGGGCTTGCCTGGTGCAGGGAAGGGGTGTCATACAGTGCCAGAGGCTCAGACTTAGGGGCTCCACCTGCAAGACCCACATCTCAGTCCTTGGCTCTCTCTCCTGGCCGCTACTCGGCTGAAAATTGCTCCCAGTGTTTCTGGATAGGGGACCCCTTGCAAGCAGGCCACAGCGTGGTGTCCTGTCCCCAAACACAGCAGTGCCACCAGTACATCTGCCCATCTGCTCACATGGTTGCTGCCTCTGACCTGACAATGGGCCACACTGACCTGGGGGGTCTGGGAGCCCCCAGCAGGGCTGCCAGTGTCACCCGGAAGCAAGAGGCAGGGAGGGCAGAGAGGATTCGCAAGGGTCCCATCTGCCCCAGGCCACTGGCTTGGCGGACAGAGCCTTCTGGTCTTCTAGAACATTCTGCCCCTCAGGCAGATTTCCTGATCCTCTGCCAAAACCAGAGGCTGGGATGAGTCTGGGGCCCAGAGCGGGGGCACACGCTGGCCCCTCCCCACCTACCCCGCCTCCTTCGCCTCGAGCACTCCTGTTCCGGACAGGGGGAAACCTCCCGAGACTCCTCCATCCCCAGCTGCTTCCAATGGTTCTCGATGACAACCCAGACACCCCAAGGTCACAGTCATTTACAGTGCTTCTCGAAAATGAAAGTACCAGCTTCCTAGTAAGTGTGTCGGAGGAACTGTTAAAACTCCCCCAAATCCAAAAAGTTGAGGCTGAGTCAAAGCTGCATATTCCCCGTCCCCCCGCCCCCCACACCCAGCCTGAGCAGAGGGTCCAAGTCTGCCCATCAGCGCTGCCCTGAGCTTGGCAGGGGACACAAGCAGATGGGCCGCGAGACCTCCAAGGGCGCTTTCTACAGGGCAGAGATGGCTCCCACCCACCAGGCCCTGCAGCAGCTGAGAGGCCGATGGGCAGCACGGCTCCCGGGAGGGGCAGTGCGGGCAATGTCTGTCCAGAGGTCCGGGACACTGGCCAGTCTGCCACCATCTGCCTCACAGACAGCAGGTCTCACATATCAGGGGCTGAGCCCAAGAGGCCATGCTCAGCACGTGCCCCCACTAATCATGGCTGAGACCACAAGAGGCAGTGGTCAGGATTAACTCCTTTTTTTCTTTTTTCGTTTTGGGTCACACCTGGCATTGCACAGGGGTTCCTCCTGGCTTATGCACTCAGGAATTACTCCTGGTGGTGCTCAGGGGACCATATGGGATGCTGGGAATCGAACCTGGGGTTGGCCTTGTGCAAGGCAAACGCCCTACCTGCTATGCTATCTCTCCAGCCCCTCAGAATTTACTCTTGGCTCTGTGCTCAGGGAGCACTCCTGGAAGGGAAGCCGGGTCAAACTCATGCAAACCAAGTGTCCAACTCACTCTACTCTCTCTCTCTCAGGCTCTCCGGTCCCCATCTTACAATGGAATCCAGCCAAGAAAAATGTGCCTGCAAAATATTTAGGTCGAAACGCAGTTAAATCTGTGACTCCCGAGAAGGCTGAGCTCTGTCTGCCTGCTCCTGAGTCTGGACCCCGAACTTCTCACACATGCCACGTGACTGCTGGATTCTAAATGTGTGTGTGGAGCAGATGGATCCGGGATGCAGGGCCAGCACCAGCTGGGGAGAAGCGTCTACACGTACACAGACATGGAAATAGAAACAATAAAATATTTTAATTCTCTTTTTACATGACCACAGGTTTTTGTTTTGTTTTTCCAGTCAGATGAACCCTGGGGCGGCCCTTCCCCGCTGTGGCAAGGAGGTGACAGTGTGGTGACAGGCCTCAGCTCCGGCCACTCCATCAGGAGGTCTTGGAACATTCCAAGCCGTCACACATCTGGGATTTTGTATCCTGGGTACAGCGATGAAGAGTCACTGTGGCCTTGAGCCACTCGATGTCAAGATGCAGTTTTTGTTCAGAGACTCGCTCCCCCCGCTCCTGCGTCTTGGCCCCCACCTGGATTTGTAGAAAACACTTGTAGAGAGATTGCACCGTAAACGTGCAGCTGAGGCACTCTAACATAGAGCACAGGGACGCGCGCCCCCAACAGCCTGCAGAGAGGCGGCCGCACCCCTGCCTCCACAGCCAGCCCGCTGCTCCTCCTTGTCCTGCTGAGGAACGACATCCTCCCCCAAGGACAGAGGAGGGGACGAAGACCAGGGCTGCCTCCAGCAATTCTGGAAGAGCGTGGGCGAGTCCACCTGGCTCGTGGGCCCCGGCCGAGCTCTGCAGGCCAGCGGGGGCGGCCTGGCTGTGGGGCTGGGGCTTTCGGGCGGGGCAGCATCCCTCAGACACACACGTTCACAGATACCTCACGGGAAGTACATGTCCAAGAGCGGCTATGAAAATTGGCACGTTCTTTCGACACAGGGACAGTCCTCTCTGCAAAGCAGTTGCCTCACGCCTGCATGATCCTCTGCTCGCCAGGCAGGTGGGCGTGCGCCTGGGAGGAAGGCCGGGCTGGGCTGGTCTGGGTGGCTGGAATTTCTCACTCGTGGAGCCCCCTGAAGGGTCCCCTGCTCTCGGAGGGGTCTTGCCTTTCCTCTACATTGTTGTAAGCAGCTTGGGGCTCATCTCAGTTAGCCAGGCTGCAGACTCCCTGAAGTTTCCCAAACAGCCAGCGAGGGAGAGAGCGTGCTAGGCCAAGGCCCGGTTCCGTAGCATTCCAGTAGTAAGTGCGGGTCTGTCTGTGCAGGAGGGCCCTGTGCTAGGAGCTCTGGACCAGGCGTCTGTAATGGGGCATGACTTCGTGCTCGGGCAGATGAAGGGCAAATTCCAAGGCCACTAACACTGGAAATTCGAAGGCAATCAGTTCTCGCCTGTTTAGCCGGAACTTCTCTTCCAGTTTCTGCAACAACATTAAAGAAAGCCAAAAATTTTTAGTTTGAAATCAATATCCTAGGGGCTGGAGAGACGGTACAGGGGTTGAGATGCTTGCCTTCCATGCGGCCAACCCTGGTTCAATCCCAGCAGTGGGTACGGCCCCAAAACAAGTCGCTCAGCTCCATATTCTTCACTGTAACCTCTCTATTCACCAGGACAGAGAAGAGATTGGAGGAGGACAAAGCAGGCATGAACTGGGCTTCCTGCTCCTGGTCCCAAATCTTCCAACTCCCCGGGAGGACCATGGTTGCCTGCCTAGAGCCTCACAGATATCCCAGACTCCTTTCATCTACGGGGAATTTATGATCTCTGCTTCACAGTAAGAAAACAGGCGACGGAGATCAGACTTAAGTGTACATCTTAAGTGTACTTAAGATGACATGGATGTACACTATAAAGCTGAGGTTCAGGCTCAGGTGGACCCCAGTGCGCCCTGCCACACTTGTTCCTCACACTCAGAGAGAAAGCTAACAGGATGGCAAGCCACCTACGGCAACAACCACCACCGACATACTCAGAAGGGGCGAGCTGGTTAGATGCAACCTCTTCGTTTGTTTGTTTGCTTGTGGGGTCACATCCAGCAGTACTCAGGACTTACTCCTGGCTCTGCACTCAGGGATGCTCAGGGATCACTCCTGGCAGGCACCGGTGACCATATGAGATTCTGGGGATTGAACCCAGGTCAGTGTCAAACAAGACAAACGCCCTACTTGCAGAACTAATGCTCCAGCCCTGGATGCAATCCCTTATCTCACCTGGTCCTCTCAAACTCAGAGCATCGCAGCTCTGAGCGGGCACTGAACCAGGGATCCCTCCCTGCACTGTCTTGTAGTTCCCAGCTGTAGGAGCTGTGAACTGCAGAAGCAGAGAATAATCACAGGGAAGACACAAAAGGCCGCTTTTTTTTTTTTATAAGTACTATGTGTTAGGGCATATTCTTGCTGAGTCTTTTTTTTTTCTTTTTGGGTCACACCCGGCGATGCACAGGGGTTGTTCCTGGCTCTGCGCTCAGGAATTACCCCTGGCGGTGCTGAGGGGACCATATGGGATGCTGGGAATCAAACCCGGGTCAGCTGCATGCAAGGCAAATGCCCTACCCGCTGTGTTATCAATCCAGCCCCACTTTCTGAGTCTTAAACTGAGCTTTGGAGAAAAAAGAAATCTCATCAATGGGGCAGGTGGGGACCACATTCAGGTTATAATTGGAACAGTATCTTGCATTGTGTTTATTGTTACTGCAAATGGTTACTCAGTACTGCTATCCTCGGCATTGATGCTATTAGTGTTTCCTGGTGTTATACAACTCAATTATGATTAAGTATGCATATCACTCATCTTTTTTCTTACTATTTACTTCTAAGGCACCATCAGCTCAGCAAACATCTATGTAAACCTACTGATCCTCAGGTCAAATTTGGTAACCAAAGACCATTTCCATGCTCCTCAAAATATTTGGGTGAGTTTGTACCATTTCTGAAAAGCCAGAGAGGACTGATTCTCCACTGACAAACAAATAGATAAACAAAATGTGTTAAGTACGTATAGAGGAATATAACTCAGGCTTAAAAGGGAATGAAGTCCAAACCCCCGCCACAACATGGATAGGTCTGGAGGAGGTGAGGGCAAGCACAGTGAGCCAAGTCTATTTACATGAGGTAAGCGGTCAAATTCAGAGGACAAAGGAGATGGAGTGCCAGGGGCAGGGAAGGAGGAATTACTGTTCAAGGGTATGAAGTTTCAGTTTCACAAGATGAAAGGAGTCCGAGAGATGGATGATGGTGATAGCTGTGGGGGAAAATGCGTTTAGTACCACTGAAGCATACATTTAAAAATAATTTAAATGGCAACTGAAAACAGAAGATTCTCTCTGTTAGAAGGAAGGCATTGCCATTAGCTTCCTGAATTCTGCTCTCCTTTTTGCCTCTGCAGACAACTACACAGCTGGACTGGCACATGGCATCAACTACGGCACAGGTGCCCGGGCCTGGCTGAGCCTGCAGGGTTGTTTCTCAAGGGAGTCCTGATCACAGGCCCACCTATGTCATTCCCCCACCCCCCTCATGGACAACTTGCTGGGGATTAAACTTTACACGTTGTTGCTTTTTGGATCACATCCGGCAATGCACAGGTGTTACTCCTGGCTCTGTACTCAGGAACTACTCCTGGCAGTGCTCAGGGGATCATATGAGATGTTGGGAACCGAACCCAGGTCTGCCACATGCAAGGCAAGCACCCTACCCACTGTGCTATCGCTCCAGCCCCAATACTCTGCATTTTTTTTTTTTTTTGCTTTTTAGGTCACACCCAGCAATGCACAGAGGTTACTCCTGGCTCATGCACTCAGGAATTATTCCTGGCGGTGCTTGGGGGACCACATGGGATGTTGGGAATTGAACCCGGGTTGGCCACGTGCAAGGCAAATGCCCTACCCACTGTGCTATCACTCCAGCCCCAATACTCTGCATTTTGAAAGAGATGTTTTACCCCTACCTGCATGGAGGTCAGGGCTTCCTGGCTCTGATAGGATTCACCTTAATTTATATTTTAATTATTATTTTGTGGTTGCAGTTGGGCTTTACTTCCAAGTTGGCCCATTTAGAAGGTGGAGGCAGACATAGATTGGGTGTTGTTTTTTGGGGGCCATGCCCAGAGGTGGGCAGGGGTCACTCCTGGCTGTGCTTGGGGGACCACACACATGGTGCTGGGGATCTGAACCAGGGTTAATGGGATACAAGATAAGTGTGTTCACCCATGAACTCTCTCTGGTCCCTAATTTATTTTTAAATAACTTTATCTTTAAATTTTACATGTTATTTTTAATAACTCCTCTTATCTACTTACTGGTGTATGTATGTACAAGTGCAGCTCTGGGGCCCCAGACACGTTCAGCCTGTGCTTATCTAGTGAGCTCCATCCCCAGTGCCAAGGATCCCCTTTAAAGGAGACGTCACTGAACTGAACCCACAGTTATCCCTAGAAAGGGCCAGGGCAGCAGGAAGTCAAGATTTGCTATGTCGCAGTGTCTCAAGGGCCATCAGTGGGACATTCCGCCCACAAGATCCCCAGTGGTTAGAGCAGTTCCTGGCTAAGAGCATTTCAGCCCACACAGTCGTCTAAAGATAGACGTTCATGGCCTGACCCAAAACGGGGGAATCCTCAGTCACATCAGAGATCATCCTGCATTGTAGGTCACCCCAAAAGGTGAGGTGATGCTGGTGCAGGAAGGACTACCTCACAGCCACTGTCACGTCCCCCTCTCAGCTCTCCCAGGCACGGTCCCCTACCAAGCTCCTTGGGGAGCACCAGGCACTGGAGGCAGCCTGGCTCCAGCCGCCACCAGGACGGGCCACTCACATCGATCAAATGCTTGACCTCGTGCTTTCTGAGGTCGCTCCCGATCTTGGCTGCCAGCAGCACACACGCTCCGGCACATAGCTTCCGGTTCTGCTTGTTCAGCTTTCCCTTGAGGGCGAGCTTCTCAAAGTAGACGAAGGCCATGGCCACCGTGGGCTCCTCGAAGCCACAGTCCTCCTGGGCCAGCTTCCGCATGTCTCGCTTCAAGCTAGAGCAGGACGGGAAAGTCCTATGAGAATGAGGAGTTTCAGGGGACCCCCCCCCCACAGTGGAAAAGCTGATTCCAGCCAGGGGGCTGTTTCCCTCCCTCTTTCCCAGAACAGTGGTGGAGAGAATGAGAGAATTCCCTCGAGTCATGCTCTATGTGGGCGGCAGATCTGAATAGAGGGTGGGAGGTGTCGCAGAATTCCCATCTGGGTGAAGTGTCAAGACCAGACCCACATGAAACCCCAGGACCACAGAGAAGCCTTGTGGCTATCCAAGGGTGCCCAGGGGAGCCTGGAGCAGGGAGAAGTTGTGAGAACAGAGTTAACTCAGGACAGAAGAATAGAGAGAAAAGTGAAGTACTTGGGGTCAGCCCTGCTGAGTCTCATGACATTCACTAATCATGAACAAGAGGGGCCAGGCTAGCACCACCAGGGGGCCCGGTGGTAGGACAGCAGGTAGGACATCTGCTCTGCATGTGACCAGCTCAGGCTCAATCCCTGGCATCTCGAATGGTTCCCACGCCCCGCCAGGAGTGATTCCTGAGTGCAGAGCCAGAAATAACCCCTGGAGCACTGCTCGGGGTGATCCACACCCCCTCCTCCCCCCTCTCCCCCAAGAAAAGAGCAAAACCAGGAAAGCTACTGGGCACAGGGACAGTAAGATGATTTTTCTCATAATTAAACCAGTACAAGAATGCACACACCTAAATACTGGTACTCGGTCCTATGTGTGCTGATGAAGAGTCTCTGCATAGACACACACACAGAGACATACACATAAACACACACACACACACACACACACACACACACACACACCGACCGCTGAATGCACCCCCACACTCCTGAATACCTCCCCCTTAAACACACACACACACACACACACACACACACTCAACACCCCGAAACAGACGCCACTGTTCCCTCTGATACCGGCTCTTTTCTATTGTGCGGGAACAGTGGCTTCATGTTTCCAGAACCCAGCGCTGACTGGCCGTGACCCCCACTGCAGATGGCTCCTTCCTCTTGCACCCGCCCGCCTTTTAGTGTCCACACCTGCACCATCAGCAGAAACACCCGGACACCCCCCCCCCAGGGCAACCAGAATGAACATCCTTCGACACGTCCATCACAAGTGAGCAGGGGGAGAGTCCCCACGGCCTCTGACCCCCCACCCCTCACCTACCTCCTTATTTTACTGAGAGTTAATTTGATGTGAGGAAACTTCTCCTTAAAGGTCTCGTTCATGTCCTTTTTAAGATCCGAGGGCTTCACGTAATCGATGACCGTGGTCTGGAACAAAAGGGACGACTTGGTTATGCCTTCACATAAGAGGCTTGAGGAAATGACAGCTGCAACCATGAGGGCCCCCGGCTCCCACTACTGCAGGAAGCCACAGGGGCCAGGCCCTTCAGGCAACACTCGGAAGCCTGCAGACCAGTGGTTGCCAGCTGCAGTCGGCTGAGCAGTGCCTCCCCCGCTCCACCTTTTTTTTTGCTTTTTGAGTCAAACCCTGTGATGTACAGGGGTCACTCCTGGCTCTGCACTCAGGAATTACCTCTGGCAGTGCTCAGGGAACAATATGGGATGCTCGAAATTGAACCCGGGTTTGCTGCATGTAAGGCAAATGCCCTACCCGCATTGCTATTGCTCCAGCCTCCAGATTTGTGACTTTCAAAGTTGAGTTTCTGGACCACACTTGTTCTGGTTTTTTTAACTTTTTTTTTCTTCCTGTCTTTTTGGGTCATACTAGATGATCCTCAGGGATTATCCCTGGCTCTGCACTCAGGAGTTACTCCTGGCGGTGGTCAGGGGACCATATGGGATGCTGGGAATTGAACTCGGGTCAGCCGTGTGCAAGGCAAATGCCCTCCCCGCTGTGCTATGGCTCCAGGCCTGTGCCTCCCTCTTACCAGCCCACTTCTCCCGAGGCAGGGCCAGGCTGGGACTGGGCTGTGCCCACCCAGCACCATGCCCAACCTTTCCGCTCCTGATCAGATGGAAATAAGGAGTGGCCAGTCCAGTCCCTTATGACAGAGGCTGGCAGGGCCTGGGGGCCCCACCTCTGGCGAGTTCACGGCAGCTCGACCTCCCTTAAGCCAAGGGGTGGGCGTGGGGAGGTGGCAGGATTGCCCCGTGTGTGTGCCATCTCTGGGTCAGAGCAGATGGAAGCGTGACCTTGCCCTGGCTGAGATCTGCAAATACCGTTTCCGAAACACATGGCATTTTGAGGCTATAGGTCTGCAACCTGTCTCATTTGTTTGACATATACATACATATGTATTTTTTTTTTCTATTGGGGCTGGAGCAATAGCACAGTGGTAGGGCATTTGCCTTGCGTTCAGCCAGCCCGGCCGAGCCGGGTTCGATTCCTCCACCCACCTCGGAGAGCCCGGCAAGCTACCGAGAGTATCTTGCCTGCACAGCACAAAGCCTGGCAAGCTACCTGTGACATATTCAAGATGCCAAACACAGTAACAACAAGTCTCAAAATGGAGATGTTACTGGGCCTGCTTGCAAATCAATGAATAATGGGAGGACAGTTTGTTTGTTTTTCTATTGTGGGGGGCGGGTTCGCCGGGAATCAAAGCAGGGCCAGACACATCAAAATGATTGCTCTACCACTGCGGAACCCCCCACCCCCCAAGCCCTCTCCTCCTGCCCTTTAGCCTCTTGTGCTGGAGAAATGATTCGACCTCTGGGGCTGTGCCCTTACCCTCCCCAGCTACCCGCCCGCCAGACTTGGCCTATCAGAATACAAGGATGCTGCTTCCTTCCTCTCCCTGTCTCTCTTGCTGGCCAGGACAATTTTCTCCAGTACTGCTTCTCTGAGCGGCAGCTGGAGGAGGAGGAGGAGGACGGATTCTGGAGCAAGACCCCGGGTTTAAGTCCCAGCGCTGCCTCTGTTTCTGCACAGAGCAAATGGCCTAAGCCTCAGTGTCTCCACCTCTTCCCCTGCCCTGTCTGTCCTGCACTGCGAGGGCCCAGGGCTCCGGGAGACCAGGGGGCTGCTCCAGTCCCATCTGCACTCAACAGCACTCAGGATCCTCAATCAAGGACTCAGAGCTGGGACCCTTGGCTTCCCTGAGCCCCTGCTCCTCACCAGCCCCCTCCAAGGGCCCCACTTTGGGTGGGATGCATTGCCCCGGTCCCAGGGCCATCCCATCAGGCAGATTCCATGGGTTCAGTGTCCTCTGGGAAACATGGAACACAGCAGTCAAGGGTGGGGCGGGCGGGGGGGATACCACCTCACACCCACCTCCCTTCACCCCCCGCACTCCCCTAGAGAGATGGCTCCTCTGCCCAGTGGCGGGGTGAGCTGAGCTGCAGGAGGGACACTCCACCCTCCAGCATGCATTCCTTCAGACTTGAAAGAAAGAAAATGAATTAAAACCAAGGACAGGTGCATATGCTGCCTGATCCCATGTGCTATTTGCACCCGCGTGGTTGAGCACATGCAGTGGCCTAGCACATGTGTCGCCCGCATCTCCCCTCTTGAGATGTGTATTTTCATGTTTTCCTATCTAATGCTGGGGTGTGCGTAGGGGCTCTCTCTACCCTTGGAGAAGCCCGCATTCTCTCTTGAGCGCGTTACTCTGTCTCTCTCACTCTCTACTCTCTCCCACTTTCTCTTCCTCCTTCCCTTCAAAAGTCCTCTAAATAAAATGTTTTATTCACACACACACACACACACACACACACACACATACACAAAATAACTGAGGACAGAGCTTTGTTCTCATCGCCTCATCAATCTAATTGTGGGTTGACAGACACGTGCAACTCCGGAGTTTCTCTATGCATGTGTGCATTTACTCTGATTCCAGGAAACAGGCTCTGGTTCCTTCCTGTGCTGGGAAGCCTGTGAGGGACCACTGTCCTCGAGGAAGCCTGTGAGGGACCACTGTCCTCGAGGAAGCCTGTGAGGGACCACTGTCCTCGAGGCACCGAATTCCAGACTCTGGGATTGCTTCCTGAAAGACCTGCAGTGGCTAACAGCTGCACAGGCCGCCTGCATTGTTTCTGCAGAGCAGAGAGGTTCCTCGACAGCTCTTTCCTGCAGCTGCCTGGATGTGGGGAAGCTGTGTGTGCCCAGCTGCATAGAGGGGAAGGGCCAGGGAGATCATCCAAAATGCAGAATGGGCTGGGGAGATGGTACGGGGCCAGGGCATTGCAGGCATCACCGGAAGTGCCCTGCCCCCACCCCACCTCCACCTCTGAGCACTGCTTGGGAGCGCTCCCCCCCAACAAAACAAACGAAAATGCAGATTGACCATAGAGAATGCAATTCCGAACAAAGCCCAGCCCAACCTGCAGCGCAGAGATGGGAGGAAGATAGAGGCCAGCAAGTGGTGGACACCCACATGCCCTTCTGACACCAGAAGAGATGGTGAGAGCACAGGCTGGCCATCTCGGGAGGAGGCTGCCATGGCTGCTGCAAGACACTCAGACTCCAGGATCGTCTGAGGGGCTGGAGAAATGGCTCAAGGGGCAGAAGCTTTGCATGTGCAAGTCCTGGGTTCAGTCCCCACCCTAATGCCAGCTGGAAGACGGGGAGGGGGAGGGGGAGAGGAAGAGAGAAAGAGAGAGAGAGAGAGAGAGAGAGAGAGAGAACAGACAGAGACAGATACAGAGAGAGAGAAAGAGAGAGGAAGGCTCATCCAGGAAGGGGAGAGGCAGCTCTGGACCCATCCCAGTTCCCTATGTTGGGGTTATAAGGTGACCTCCTGGGGGCAGGAGCAGGCCAGGGGGACTGAGACAGAGGGTTGGTGCAATAGGCAGTGGGCCAGGCAAGGAGCAGGCTTCCCAGTAATAATGCTGGAAGGACCCTGTCTGACTCCAACAGAAACAATAAAAGGTGCTTCTGCCCGGGGCCCAGCCACTCTCCTGCAGTTCTTACAGCTGCTCTGGACAGGTGGGGGGGGGGGGGGGGGCGGAGGTGCTCAAGCCCCAGGGCTGGCATCAGTCCAGCATCCTCTCAGGGAGAGCGGGAGGGGAGGGGAAGGGTCTCTGCACAGGAGCCCCCGCATGGCCGGCACCCTGTGTTACAGCCTTCTGCGCTCAGGGTTCTGCCCACCCTGGGAAAACAGATGGCTTCGTGCGAGCAAAGGTAATTAAGCAGCGTGTCCAGCCCAGGACTAAACCTATCTACCTATCTAAGTGCCAACAGCTGGCCTTTTTTTTTTTTTTTTTTTTTTTTTTTTTTGCTGTTCTGTGCGTTTCCTCCTTTTCCCTAAGAGTAAATCACAATTTACTGTTGGAAGGCGTAAAGGCCAACGCATATGGCATGTATCAGAAAGACTGGAAACCAGCAGTGCTGGTCGGTATGTGGTGAGAGAGAACCCTCATTCATGTTGCTGGGGATGCCGGAGTCAGCCTTCAGGAACACAGTACTGAGACAGCGCAGAAAAACACAAGAGCCCTTCCATAGCACCCCGAGATTCCAGTTCTTGGCATCTACCCCCACCAAACACAAAAACAGTAATTTAAAAAGATATATGCACATCTGTGTTCACTGCGGCACCAAGTACAAGAGCCAGGATATGGAAACACCCAAATGTCCAGCGACAGATAAATGGACCAAGAAATTGTGGTGCATCTATACAATAGAATATACCCTGTAGCCATAAAGACAAAAAAATTCACAGTTCACTGCAACCTGGATGGAACTGGAGGACACCAAGTGACGTGAAAAAAGTCAAGGGGAAGAGAACAAATCAGATGATCTGCCTTATCTAGTGTATACAGTAAAACAAAACAAGGGAATATTTAGTATTAAAGGGTGAGACACCTGTGGTCTTGGATTACGAAACTGAGATGAGCAAGCAAAGGGGTGAGGGAGTGGGTGGGAGGAATGAAGAGGCGGACAGGAAGTGACAGAAGGACACTGGTGGAGGGTCTTGGGCAAATTGGTGATAGTGAGATTAGTTAACTCTCATAAACATCGATGTTACTGGAAACATGTGACCGAAAGCATAGTAAAGAAATTAAAACAACTTTTAAAAACACCTACTGAATAATAAAAATAGATAAAAAGCAGAAAGAAAGAAAACAGATTACTGATTGGCTACCGTGGCAATCAGCATCCCTCGACCAGAGGCCAGATGGCCTTCCCCATGGGCCCCAGGATATCCAAGGGAAGGTGCACACGTGGCAATCACATAAATGGGTGAGCCATGAGAAGACTAAGGGAAGCTGGCAGAAGAGAGGGCTGCAGTTGGAAAGAGACCGATAAAGGGTGGGTTAGGTGATGGGAAGGGGTGGTGATAATGGTTATGGTGCTCTCTTTTGAG